GCACTGGATCACACAACAGACACCCACACTCCCAGCAGCTGTGACTTAACATTGTGGAGGCCCCCACTGGGATTGTGACCTAACAATCATTACCCATATGTCTTACTTTAGGCCTAAAAAGTAACAGGTTATTTCTTTTAAAGATAAAGAAGTTACCTGCTGCTCTGGAAAGCTGCTTCCAGAGAAGTGCTGACGTGAGCTTTTGGAGGACTCTTGCCTCCTCCCACCCACACTCACTCCCACCCCGTCTCCTTCAGTCAATAACTATTTGCTTTTGTGGCACTGACAGGTGGTGGGAGTAGGGAGGGTTTAGATGATGGAAAAGCCTCACCTAATAACACATTTAGATGGTTTTAAAGTCTTCAGCCAAAATTAAACATGAATGGATGAAAATATCCAATCATTTGCTGCTTATCAGGAACACACTTAGTATAAAGGACATCAACCTCCTCCCACCAAGGAAAGACAAGTGAATTGAGCAATTTAAAAAAGAAATCTGAAGTAGTAATGCTTAAGTAATATCTGGTAGACTTTAATAAATCATTAGGCAGGATAAGATGGTCTTTTAAGTGGGAACATGTAACGTTAATCCTCTTGCACCAAAATGTTTTCAAGTCAGAACTGCCCAGTTTCTGTTATCAAGGAAAGACCGTGGTATATGGCTGCTAAGGAAGGGCCCCAAGACTGGGACTTACGTTAAGGCAGACTCTGAAATGGTTACAAATTTGATTTTTTTTAACTTAATCTGCTTATTTAAGACAATTATCAACTCATATACAGTTGTAAGAAATAATGCAGAGTGCTTCCATGTATTCTTACTCAGTTTTATTCAATGGTAACATCTTATGAAGCTATTGGGCAATATGGTAACTGGGATACCAACACACCATAGTCAGGAGAGGCACAATCCTCACTTCAAGGATCGCTCAGGTTGCCCTTTTATAGCCACACCTACTTCCCTACTGCTCCACTCCTCTTTAATTTCTGCCAACCATGAATCTGTTCTCTTCTTATCATTTTGTCATTTCAAGAATGATATATAAATGGAATCATACAGTATGTAGCCTTTGGGATTCTTTTTTTTTTTTTTTTTTCACTCAGCATAATTCTCCAGAGATCCATTCAGGTTGTTGCTTCTATCAGGTTTATTTCTTGTTACTGCTAAGTAATATTCCATAGTGTAGAATATTTCTGTAAATAAACTGGACCACGGTTTATTTAACCTTTTACCTGTCGAAGGATATATAGGTTGTTTTCAGCTTTTGTTTTTTACAAATAAAACTATTATTTACATTTGTGTACAGGCTTTGAGTGGACATGTGTTTTCATTTGTCTTGGTTCTTTTGAATGTATATACCTAGGAGTGGAATTGCTAGATCACATGGTAACTCCATGTTTGTGAGGAACTGACACATTGTCTCCAGAGTGGCTGTACCATTTTACATTTTCACCAGCAATGTATGAGTGATTCAGTTACTCTCACCAGTTTGTGGTTTTCCTATTTTTAAATGTTTTAGTTGTTCTGATAGGTGTGCAATGATATCTCATTGCGGTTTTAATTTACATTTCCCTAATGGCTAAGGATATTGATCAGATTTTAATGTGCTTATTAGCCATCTGTATAACTTCTTCAGTGAAATATCTCTTTATGTCTTTTGCTTTTTCTTTAATTGAATTATTTGATTTTTTTTTACTGTTGAGTTTTGAGATTGCTTTATACTAGTTCTTGATACCAGTTTTTTTGTGTTTGTTTTCTTGATGGGTGGTTTGCAAATATTTTCTCCCTTAAAGGTCTCCCAGTTATATAGTTTCCATTTTAGCCCATGATCCATTTTGAGTTCATTTATGTTCATTTTTTTGCCTCTGGGTAACCTATTACTCCAACACCATTTGTTGAAAAAGCTGTCTTTCCTCCACAGAATTTATTTGGCTCCTTTGCCAAAAATCAGTTAGGAATATTTGTGTGGGACTATTTCTAAGGTTATCTTGCTCCATTGATTTGTGTCTTTATCTTTGCCAATAACACACAGTCTGGATTATTAAAGCTATATAAGTCTTAAAATTTGACAGACATCATTCTTTTTCCAAATGGTTTTAGTTATTCTAGTTACTTTGCATATATATCTATATATCTATATAAATTTTTAAGTAGACACAGGGTCTGGCTGTGTTGTGTTGTCAAGGCTGGAGTACAGTGGTGCAATCATACTTCACTGCAGCTTCAACCTCCTGGGATCAAGTGATCCTCCCACCTCAGCCTCCCAAGCAGCTAGGCCTACAGGTCCATGCCACCATGCCTGGTTTCATATTAAATTTTAAAATAATCTTATCTATATCTATAAACACTCTTGCTGGAATTTTCATGGGAATTGCATTAAACCTGTATATCAATTGTGGAAAACTGATAAATGGGCAACATGTAAGCAAAGGGGATTATGTATTCCTGAAGGCTGGGAAGGATCTGAGATGAAGAGACGGCCGGAGGAGTTAGACTTGAGCTTCACCATCCCTCCAAAATCACACTATTTCCTGAGGGTAAAGGTATCAGCAGACTTGGAAGACATAACACTCAAGGTTGCTCACTGGTTTTCACAGGACTGGGGATGTGCACATCATCTTTTTTTCTTTAACTTTTGAATCAGGTGCCAACAATATAAAGATGGGAGATTTCACATAAAGATCAAAATTCTGGCTGTTTTTGGGGCCACATCCCTGCATGGCAATTGACTGGTGGCAATAAATAGTGACTGCCCTTTTTAAGGACTAGTAGGAGGGACCTGGTGGGGTTGGGGGAGAGCAGGCTGTTTATAGGATTAAAAGTATGGGGCCTGGAATGTTAAAACATCATAAACCTAAGAGAGTGGTGATTAGTGCTCATTACCTCATACTTTCTAGTTACTTCTAGGTCTTGTCTTAGGCAGATAGCTGATAACCCTGCTATCCACAGTATGATCCATTAACTTGCAATAGCATCACCTGGGAAGCTTTTACAAATGCAGACATCTTAGGCCTGCCCCAGAACTACCGCACCTACATTTTAACAAGATTCCCAAGTGCTTATTTTATACATTCAAGTTTGATGCACGTCTACCTCTAATACTTCAGGATGGGTTGCCTAAAGACACAGAGAACGGTTGGAGTAAAAATTAATAGCACTTTACTTATAAATGTTGTTTAGGACAAAATCTATCTACAATTCCAGCAACAAATCAAATAATTTCCTCCAAATGCTCAAGGGACATGTTGAAAAAGAAAAACAGGTAAATACTTAGCCAGAGTATTAAAAATTCTCTTCTGATCTATAATTTGCTGGACATCCATACTATAAAAAGGAACACTGTCACATTTGGGTAAAGAACCAGTGTTCTGATTTACTCAAGGCAGTATATAAATGGAAGCCAACAAAACCCGCTAGTGAACTTGGATTGAATATCGTGGAGCCATAATAAAAGCAAAGTAAAGTTTCAGAAATAAGTTGTAAAGTAGTAGAGTATGATCTATTATACTGGAAAATTATCTCACTCTACCCACTGTCTTGTCCTAGTCCCCAATTTCAAGATGGGGACGCGTTCCACAGGCCGGGACTGGGGGTAGCAGGAGGAGCAGAGGTTGGACTACAGAGGGGACCGGTCAGTGGTTGTCATTGCTCTAGTATCCTCTGGACAGGCAGACATGGGGAAGGGGCGGAGTTCGTTCGTTCTGAGAACTTGGGCCTTGGTGTCTACCTAGGTTCATCAGAGCCGCAGGAAAAGTTTGCTTTTCCCTGGCCGCAGCCTGGGCATGACCTGGGCATGGCAGGAGTCGAGGCAGACACGCTGAAGTGGACGCGCCGCTGGGACGGGAGATGGAGAGGCCACGCAGGCGACGATGCCGAGCGGCTCCGGCGCGGTATGGCTGCAGCCCGCGCGTCGCCGAGCCCGCTTTAACGCTATGGAGGGCGGCCTGCGGGATCCCATCTTCGCTGAGCGAGGTGGGCAAGGCCTCCTTCTCGTTCGACCCCAGCGGTAGGCCTCGAGTTTGCATCCCTCGCCGCGGTCCTTCCCCAAGCCCCAGCTGTGTCTGGAGCCCGGTCTCGCCGGCTTCACCTCGCGCGGTCTGGCCTGACCAGCGTGCTCTGTGCTCGGAGCCTGGGGCCGCCGGGCTGCAGCGGCTCCTCCAGGTCACGGCCCCGCCTCCGCTCTCCCGAGGCCGGCCCTGCCCTTCTCCGGCCATTCGAAAGGATGAATGGGATGCTCCTGGACTTGAAAGTGGCAGGCTGCCTGGGCGACATCTAGGTCACCCTCACCCGTGGTGCAGAAAACGGGCTGGCGGCTGCCGCAGGTCTGGGCTCGCGGGCGCCGCGACAGCCGCTGGGAAGGCGAGGGTTGACGGCGGCGTAAGGCTCCTCCCGCTCCCCTGGCGGCCCGGAAGTCTCGGCTCGGGCGGCGGCCACGCGGGGCTCACCCGCCGCGGCCGGGAGGAGTCGCGGGAACCCGCGTGGAGTCCAGCCCCTCCCCGGCTGAGGGCGTGGCTTCCGACGCCGGCGGGGCCTGCCCCCGGTGGCGCGCCCCTCGGGGCGGTGCTCCAGGAGCCCAGCGCCCGGGAGGGCGCCTGGGGAGTAGGGACGAAAGCCGCGAGCGCGGCGCCTGAGCTGTCCTGGATGCAGCAGAGCAGTCATTTTCTCCAAGCCTGTATGGGGCCGTCATGGCTGCAGCCAGGAGGCCGAAAGGATGGCCAAAGCCTGCTCTGGACTCTGCGGGTTTATCTCGCCGCAGGCGCTCCGCTCTCCGGGTTTTGACCCGGTTCCCCGCCCGGCGGAGACGGTTGTTCCAACGCTTGTGGGCTCGGCAGCGCGGCCCTGGGAAAGACCTGAGACGGCGTCCTCGATCTTAACCATGGGCTGGGGACAAGGGAAGACAGGCCTGTCCTGGCGTCAGCGCGGCCGCGTGTGACCTCGCTTCCGCAAGAGAGTGACTGGACTTGAGGGTCCCAGGAAGAGAACGCCCCCTGAACGTGAGAATATGCCACCGTGGGTGAAAGTTCCCGAAGACCTGGAAGAGCCAGAGGTATTCCAGATCCAGACGCGGCTGCTGGATGCCATGTTTGTAAGTGCCCAGTTCTTGCTTGGGTACCCTGTCTGGGCGTCTCAATCTCCCTGGCTCAAAGCTCTCATCTTCTCCCACTGGCCCAGATGGATCTCGAACCCCTTACAGGGAGCAGGTGAGCAATGCCATACTGCAGCTGAGGGCTCTGGAATCTTCAGATCTCACCGAGGTCGTGGTTTACGGCTACTGCTGGTACGAACTCCGGACAAAGTGAGCGCTCTAGTGGCACCACCAGTGGCAGAAGCCAGCTAGATGTCCAGATGTGGTAAGAAATGTGGTTGGGCGCCCTATTGTGAGATGCGGTTTCAACTTGACTTTTTAAAAAAACGTTGCTGCTCGAGAGTTAGTTTAAAGCATCCAGCAAGGTTCTAAAGTTGGTAATAAATTGAAAACAATTAATTGTGAATGACAAAAGTTTTAAGACAGCCACTGTTAAAAGCGCAACTGACAACAAAACCTGGCTATTTTGCAACATACAAAGTAATTATGACAAATATTGACAACGTAGATTGAAACATATTAGAATTATAGGAAAACCACACAATTTTGTACATAATATAAAGAAAGTGAAGCCTTAAAAAAAATTTGACAATTTTTTATGTATGATTTTAGCATATAAAGAAGGCCAAATATGTTTTTCATGGACTTCAAGAAACAATATTTTAAAAGAAACTTAAAGAGGTCAGAAAGACTGGATTTAGAACTTTAAATTTTTCTGATAGTGGAAAGTTTGTTAAATATTAAAGATTTTAAAAGCATGGTATTATAGCAGAGGATTACAGGTTATTGTAAAATAGCCATTTATTTAACCAAAATGCTAATTTTAAAATTTTTGAAGCTAAGCCTTTTTATAGAGGAAACTTTTTTTTTTTTTTTTTTAGTTGGAGTCT